GGAATTGGAAGGAATTCCTTCCAATTCCCAGCAATTCCGTCTCGACTCAATTCCCGGAATTCCGTACCGGAATTACTAACTTATCATATTGCCTTGGTTCTGGTCTTGTTCATTTAATGCATAATGAATTAATGACTGATTCTGATCCAACAATCAATACTAATCTTTATGTAAATCCATTTTCAATGACACTTATTGATGATAGATTTCTAGCAATGCTTCTAATTGGTTTTATTGCATTAATTATCACATATATACTTAATTTAGATATTCGATTACCAAATTGTTTTTACAAAGTAAAAGAAGAACAAGAAAATTTTGAAAATAAAAAGAAAACTTTTTAGTTGTTATAGATTTTACCATCAGAAACATTTATTGATAGAGATGTTATGGAAGAACGACATCGAATTTTATATTCGAATGAAATAAATCATGATATATTACAAGCAAAAAATTTAACAAAATGTTTTCGTCGTGTAACTGTTTAGTCATTATTAGCAGTTGATCATTTATGTTTTGGAGTATCTAAAGGTCAATGTTTTGGTTTATTCGGAATAAATGGAGCGGTAAGTAGAATTTTATTGTTGAAAACTTTCCAATAGTTTTTTTTTCAATAGGGTAAAACAACAACATTTAAAATGATCACCGGCAATTTAGTTTTGAAAGTTTTTTTGTGATATTTATTGATATATTTGTCATGGGTGATATTCATCCAACAAGTGGTGATTGTCTTTTACACGAAAAACACATTCGTAAACAGGCTCGTGAACATCCTGGTACAATTGATTATTGTCCACAATTTGATGTTGTTGATCGGTATTTAACAAGTCGTAAAGCACTTATGTGTTATGCGAAATCAATTGGTATAACAGATCGTGGACATGTTATGAATTTAACATTAAGAAAATTTCATATGGAATCATTTGCTAATCGAGTTTTACGAACATATAGTGGAGGAATGAGAAGGTATGATAACAAAGAAATGATTTTTAAACTAAAGAAAATTTTTTTCCAGAAAATTATCAGTAGTTGTTGCTATGTTAGGACAACTGGATTTCATTTTACTGGTAAGTTGAATGAGTTTTTAATACATAAAAAAAATACGACTCAATTTATTCGTATTTTAGGATGAACTAACAAATGGAATGGCTAAATAAACAATTTCACTAATAAAAAAAACACAAATTTATTTGATTTAGATCCTGAAAATCGTCGTATTGTTTGGAATAATTTTAATCAAAGCTAAAAAAACAAGATAGAGCAATTTTATTAACATCACAGTTCAATGGCGGAACAGTGTCGATCTTGCGGTTTACACAAAAGTATTTCTTCGTTTTGGTTTTTATTACAAAACAAATGTTTGATTTCTTATTATATAGATCAACGTTTAATAACAGCTTCTAATAAACAAACAATTAACATCTATACTATTTTTACTTAAACAAATATTAAAAAGAATTTATTATTTTTTTCTAGTTGTTATTATGTTATTTTATTTTTCTTTTTGGTAAAAAAAAAATAATTTTTTTTGCTTATATTACAATATAAGTTATTTTTTTAATTTTTTTATCAGTTTTTTTTGTCGATATTCAGCACTTCCTTTTTGTCGTACACCAACTAAACCTTCATCAACAGCAGCTTTAACATTTTCAAGAATCATTATTGATTCATTTAATTCATCACGAACTGATGTTACTTGTTTTGTTTCACCACGAGCTAATATTCTTTGTTGTATATCCTCACGAGCTGATGTTCTTTCTTGTATTTCACCAGGAGCTGATGATTCTTGTTAAATTACACCACGAGCTGATGATTTTTGTTCTATTTCACCACGAGCTGATATTCCTTCTTTTGTTTCACCATGATCACGTGCTGATGTTTCATCGACTTCATCATTTTCATCATGATGTAATTATGGCACTTTTTTTTTTAATGAAGACTTGATAATCTTCCTCCCATTCCACGAGATGTAATAACTTTATACTAAAAATTATCTAAAATAAAGAGAAAAAAAATAAATAGAAATAAAAAGAACAATCTATAGAAGTAACA